TGCCGCTCAGGTTTTCCAGGGAGAGACAGAGTTGGAGAGAGTTTAAGAGAGAAAGACAGAGTGTGTGCGAGAGACGGACCAGGAGAGGTGTTTGGGGAGGGGGGGTTGTGAAGTCATTTTTCATCACTGGGTTCATTTTTCACCAGCCGAGTTCTCCCACTCTTTATCTGTCCTCCCCTCCCTTGATCCCGCTTTGTCTCTCTTTATCTTTCTTTTCCTCTTTTTCCTGTTCTCTCTCTCTGTGTGTCGCTCCCTCGCTCCATGCTTAAACTCCGTGTGTCCTCCCTCCCTCTCTTTCAGCCTAGTTTCTCTTTATGAAATATGGATGGGAGCAGTTTTGGGCGCGCAGAGAGCTTTGCTGTAGGAGGGAGGGAGCATTGGAACTTGGGAACTGGCAGCAGCAGAGGAGGGGGCTCGTGTCTCAGCAGACGTGCCTTATGCATGCACCTAAACACCTCACTGAGCAATCTGTCAACATGTCAGCAACACATGTTTGGTAAAAAAGGGGCTCGCGCAGCTCGAATGGAGAGAGATGGTGAAAAACTCTCTCTCCTCCTCCGGTGGGAGTAATGGCTCCCGCCAGGGCTCTGGAAATGCTTTGAATTCAGCAGATTTCTATTGCGGGGTCCTCCCCTGGGGGCGTCTTTTTACAATGCCTGCATCTCAGAAATTTGAGCCCGAGGACCCCTGGGGGCGTCCTTTCATAATGCCTGAAAATGTAGGGTTATATTGTGTGCTCTTCCCCATGGGGCTTTTATTAATACCTGTATTCACTGCCACTGGAAATTACACAGGCGGCGCTGCAGGGGCCCGCGCTCACTCCAGGAAGGTAGAAAGACTCTGCAGGGACGTTTTCTCCTCTCCCCTCCCTCTCCCCTTTCCACTTTTCTTAGTTAATGCAAGATTGGAAAAGAAGAATTTGCCAAAGGACACAGGGAAATCTGTGCGTGTGTGTGTGTTGGCACCAGCTAACCCCTTGTATTCAGTCCTTCTTTGCTCGGAGGAAAAGAAAGACATGATTAAAAATGTAGCTTTTACTTTCCTCTTCCTCTCATCTGTCTCCCTTCATCCCCCTGTCCTTGTGTGCCCGTGTGTGGATCTAGTAGAGAGTAAATATTTGTGTGTCATGTTTGAAAGCGTGTGGTAGAGGAAGAGCCTAAATCTATAGTCCAGTGGAGTGTGTCTGCGCCTGGCCTTGTGTCTCCAAACATTCATTAGAAGGATTCTGCCAACAGCTCTGTAGTTTGTTTGTGTGGCTTTAATAATCAAATATTGACACAGTCAGATTATAGAAATACACATTTACATAACTTTGAATAAATCTCACTTATCTGATCCCATCAGCTAAACAGAATGGAATTCTGTCTTGACTATATACATCTCACCATGTCTCTGTCCTGAGGATGAGTAACATTACATGAAATAATACAATCCATTATTATTTCTACATACAATTGATTTTTATGTCTGTGCATTTTTTGTATGAGCCCAGTGTTAAAATGCATGTTCTTCAACCCAGAGTTCTTCAACCCATAGACTGTGATATGCTGAAGGCTAAAGCTGCAGATCAGGGAGGGCCCCTGGGAAGGCTGCAGGAAACCGCCTCAGGTGAATATGGGATTGGTCAGGTACAAACGCTAACGGGGTGTCAGAAGCTTGATCCGGGTGTCTCTGTGAGTACACCCTCATTACTGTTAGTGTAGAGCAGATTCTGGGACTTGAACCATTCAGCTCATTCGTCTTAATGCAGCGTCTCAATATATTTAAGTCATGAAACAACTTTTTTTTAAACGTATAAACAGCACCACCCATAATTGCAGAAATTCAGAAAGCGGGTGTCTTGAGTGAATCAATATGACAAGCTGATGATTCAACTACACTTTAATGTTATGTCTTGAGATTCCACACAAGTTTTAATACTATATGCCTTGATGCCTTAATCATTTAATTATTGAAGTTACAAAGAACAAAAGGAATCAACAGTGAAAAAGAGAACCTTGCAGAAACAAACGCTTTTTACATCCATTGACTTGAGTACAATTTGAGTACAAGTGAAAAGTCATCACCAACTTTTTCCTCCTCTTGTAGTCCTTTTAAAGAGGCGCCAGCCCTCTGATCTGCTGATGGCCACTTCTGTCGCTACTTTATTGAGTTGTTGAGTTTAACAGCTGTAATACTCCATTATAGTTCGAGTCCACTGTATTTTCTTGTGAGTGAGTTTGTGTAGTTATTCCAGTGTGTACGTGGACAGGTCAGGATAGAGCTGTCAGGGGGCCTCTTTTGTGGGATGGAGGGGGGTCCAGATAATGAGGAACAGGCCTGTCCCTTGGATTCCTGCACCCCTGCCAACAACAGGACCCCCAGACCCTCGGCCCCATCCTTTCTCTGCTCTCTGCCTCCTGCTGCCTCACATGACGCTCACACTTTCTTCTGCACTCTGCTTCTGCGTTTTCTTTCTCTCTTCTCAAGTGGAACCTATTCTGTCCTTTCTCTTTTATACGTTTAGAATATACACAAGTAATTTGAATTAAGAATGATTAAGTATGAAGTATTAAGGCATTGGGTTTCAGTTATGTACTTGAAATGTCTGCGGAATTGGTCTATACAGTTGATTCAAATTAACCCTAAAGAGAGATTTTCTTTGTTGACTGGTGCCTTTGTTTTTTTCTTGTACATATTTAATATTTCAGTACTATCAAACTATATTCTCAAATATGAAAGCATAAAAGAAGTATTACATTTTAACCCCACCTTCCATTGACTTTGCCCTCGTCGACCCCTGGGCCACAAATTCCATTAATGTCTTGACTTTATATCCAGTGCACATATGCACCATAATGTCTGCACGTCCCGCTGCGTTCTCAAACCCCACACTGACCACATCCCTTCCTGTCACCCCATGCCTCTCCCCGCCCCCCTCTCCCTCTATTCTCTCTCCCCATCTCCTGTGTTCCCTGTGGAGCTGGCCCCCGAAGCTCTGATCCTGTGCTCCATGCCCCAGACCCCCCCACTGTGCCTCCCCTCCTTCTCTCTGACACATGCGCACACACACACACACACACATGCATTCTCACGCACACACTCACACAGACACATGCACACACACATACACACTCACGGGTACTGTCCCCTGTGGCGGCTGGCCCCAAAGCAGCTCTCCCTCCCACTGTTGATCCTGCCTGTCCCTCTCTCTGCACCTCTGTCTCTCACTGCCTCTTTGATGGTTCACATTGGTTACGCACTTAAGTCTTTGTTTGAACTGGAGCCATGTTGTTATTGCATTGTGGGATAGGCAATGTTTACAGTAGACTTATGTTTTATTTATGTTGTCACAATGTTAGGCCTTTTCAATAATGTTGAGTGATGTAACTCTGATTTTATTGATTAGGAAGGGTATGATCAATAACACTTTTGTGTGGTTTACATCTCAGACTAAAACCTTGACCCCATCATTCTGGGCTTGGATTGTTCTGTTTGTGTGTTCTGTAACAATCATGTCATTTTCAACCGATTCAAGAACCAATAATCAATGTTTACAACCAAAAACAAAGATTTACTTTGTTACTTTGTTGTGGTTTTTCTCATCCTAAAGTCTGTGAAGTAAAATAATATGTGCAATTGATCGGTAAGTCTGTTTAGGTAGCCAGTTGGCAAATAACACTGGTTCTTTGAGATTTCAGCAAAAATAGAAGAACAACAAAAGTGAGGTTCTTGAGGTAGCTGAGTAGACTCCACCTGAGTGTAATCTAATCTCTGTATGATCACAGCTGTTCTGTGATGGCCTCAAAGGTTTGGAAAGAGAAAGTTGGGTTCCTTTGGTCATCATGATGCTGTTTAGTGACCAACAGGGAGGTTAAGAATGAGTTTAGGGAGAAGTTTGGCAACATGGTTTGGTTATACAAAAATCTCTTCAGTTTTGAACATCTCACAGAGCATCGTTTAATCCATCACAATGGAAAGAGTGACAAATAACTGCCAACCTATACTAAGGCAGGGGTGACCTGGAGGAGTTGTGTTGGCTTTTCTGTGCTTCAACTCACTGCTCTCAGCCTGTTGCCTCAGCGTGTGATGTGTTTTAAGTCCACAGATTGTAACCATGCATCTAAAGCCCTGTTCTTTTGTGGGACAGACTTGTATGAAGGAGGTGTGGCCTCAGTGCCTGACAGAAAAAGCGGCAGGATGTGAAAAAAAATCCTGCACCCAGACAGTGAGCCGGATCACCTCCAAAACATTATCACTTGTTCCTTTTGCTGTTACGGGGGTTTCTTGGATATTCTGTCTGAACCCTTCTGGCCTTATAAATTACTGAACAAATTAAGAGACACATGGATCGTCAAATAACTTCCTTCGTGGGCAGAGGTATCTAGTAAATATTTACAAGATCACTGCAGGGAAATTGGGATAAACACAACAGCCAATCAGCTCTCGGCCGAAGAGTCAAATAGTGACTCAAATGGCTCTTACTTAAACTGGGTCCAGACTGGGGGGGAATTAGGGGACTGTTAAAAATTAAAAAACATAAGTAACATGATTAGAAGTATGTTTTAATCAAATTTACATTACTTTTGAAATGAATATACTTTTTTAAGTAATAAGAGATTCTCTCACTTTTCCAGAGTGACCGAAATTGTTAGTAAACTCCAAAAATGGGGATGGTAAAAATCTTTTAGAGGTGGTCTGTTTTTAAAGCAACTGCGATTCTTGGCGGTGATCTGTGCTCTATGAGTGCTTTTTATACGCTTTTTAGTCTCCCCACAAATCATGTGTAAAGATACAATCATAAAATCACACAAAGTGCACCTGGATACAACCAATCAGCTCAAACACGCACACGCACACGCACACGCACACACACACACACACACACACACACACACACACACACAAGTCCATGCAGGTTCAGCCACAGACAGAGGTGGCAAAGGCCAGTGTACCACAGGGACCAGGACTATAATAGTTTTAACCCAGCGCTCAGGTGTGACTCGCCTTTGTCCTGCCAAATGTCAGAGAAAAGCACAACTCGAGGGAGAGGGTGTGAGAGTGAGAAAGGGAAAAATGGGGGGAAGAAGAGACGGGGCAAAAAGTGTGGCGTGAACGAACAAGAGGAGAGCTTCATAAGGTATAGGAAATGTATTGATACGTTTTATGTTGAATTTTCTTTTTAAAGTACTGCAGTCAGGTTTTATATTTTCCACAATGAAGTCAATAGTGGGACATTTACTAGCAACTCTAAGATATTTTTTGAAAAGTTTTTTTCACAAGCATGAAATATTTACCTTTAAACTCCATAGAACTTTGGTTCAATTATACTATTAAGTTGAGGCATGACGATATTGAAACTACACTATAATTCCCCTTCTGTTGATTCAGGGGGCTGTGTCCGGCTGTTTTCCCCTGCCCCTGCCTAAAGAGCTCTCTTGGGGACAGCGAGACCAACTCTGCCAGGCCTTCTCTCTCGCACCCCCACTTACCCAGGCCCAACTGCAAGCTCACACACGGGCGCTGACGTCAGTTGCTCCGGGCAGGCTCCCCTGGGTGCTACCAGACCCTTTTGTCTCCCTCCCCCCTGCCTCGCTCCTCACTCTCCTGCCACCCCTCCTCAGTGCTCTCCTTGTCCTTTGTCCCTGGAAATAGCTGTCCTGCTTCATGCCTGATTGGAATTCACTGCACTTAGAGGTGTCAGGGGTGGGCCATTGTCAAGTGTGTGTTTGGGTGTCTGCATGTGTGTTAAATGAGCATACATTTTTTCTTTTGTGTGGCCAGGGTTATTGAAGCTTCAGTTCATGACTTCCGGTGAGTTTAAGAGAGACTCATGTGAGCTAGACAGTTGAGGGATATAAATAGTTTTTTGCGGGTTGCAGGTATTTCTTAGTTCACCCTGAAGGGTAATGTTGAATGTAAAGGTTATCATCGTCATAGTTGGTCTGTCTAACACCTTTTTGTGATGTTATTCAATATGGTTTCACATGGAAGGCAATGAAAAATGCCAATATTGCCTTCCATGTGAAATCATATTGAATAACATAACAAAAAGGTGTTAGATGGACCAACTATGATGACGATAACCCTATTACTATACTATACTATACTATACTATAGTCAATATCACTATAGTCATAATTGCTCATTGGATCGGTTTTTAGTAGACTGTGATTTATGAATTAGAATTTTGATGTGTGGTACCATGATTAGTTAACACATTTGATATATTAATGTACTGCTAAGGCTGGGAGATGTATGGTTATTTTGGCTATTAGTTTTCCAAAACATGCACCATAGTAGTCCTGACTTCTGACCAAGCCGAGCATCAACATCTGGAGATGGGTCCTTGGGAGCTGCACTGTAGGAAGTATTGAACCAGGAAGGATGGGTCAAATGGAGAAGAAAATTGTGAAAACAATTATTTGTTATATTTGCCACCCCAATCTAAGCAACAATATTCGATCCGTCAGACCCAGCCTTTTGAAGCTCAGGCCACTAATGACTGTTTGCTGTCTGTGATGGTATGTCTCCTTGTGCCTACAGTAAGGGAACAGTTCACATGTAGCTGGTGTGTTTGGGGACTCTCATGTTCTTGTGTGTGTGTTCATGCGTGCTTCTGCGCCCAGCATGAGTCCTAAAATTGGGGTTAAGGATCAAGAGAATTCCTCCCTTTACTCCCTGCCTTCCTCAGTCTCCCACTACTCCCCGTGTCGGTCTTTGTCTCTCGCCGCCTCTCTTTCTCTCGTGCAAGGGGGATGCCTTGAAATATTAACCAATCTGCTCTTCATTTTTCAAATATGATAGAAAACACACTGCTAAATAAGTCAGCAGCGAATGCCTGCTGGGGGAGTGCCGAGATGGGGCACTCAAATAAACAAGCTAACAACACAAACAACAACAATGAAGAGAGGAGGATGGGTCTGAAGTGCTGCAACACTATCATTTTGCACTATGTATTTGCAATAGCTGGGAATCAATTGCAATCGTGACCTCATCATGGTTTATTGGCTGTTTATTGGATTCACATTTTCATTACTAATTGGGCCCTTACATATTGATCCATCCCTGTAGAAGGTAATAACACCAAAAAAAAAAAAACATTGTGAACCTGGATCTGCAAAGGAATCCTTGGACACTGTTCCTGGCATGTTTTTCTATTGTACAACTGATCAATGAGTAATGCAGAAACTGCAGGTCTAAACCACCCATTAAACCAATCTCTTCTTCTTCCCCACATACCCACTGTAATGACACTGGGTCAAGTTGAGTTTCGAGTTGAGGCAGAAGGTTTGTTGCAGATGGCAGTCTTTTTTTCCACACCTCATACACGGTCTCCAGCGGCTGGAGAAGTACTATGTTCCAGTAATGACGTCCCAGAGGACAGCCTCTCTGCTGTGTGGCCCGACTGTCCCTGAGGTCCCCTGTATGGAGTTTATGGGGGCCGAGCGGGTGTTGTGTTCTGGGGGTGTGGGTGGTACAAGGAGACTGAATATTCTCTCAGTGCCAGCAGTTGCCAACTCTTGCGGCCTGCAAACGGGAAGATAAAATTCAGTGACTTGGAGAACTGGAGATTTGGATGGAGAGTATTTGCTGTTGGAGAGTTGGTCCTTGGAGGATAGTGGGTTTGGTGTTGGTATTGGAAGGGGGGTAATGACAGCTGCAGCGGAGGGCCAGGGGGAGGAGGTGAGGGTCTGACTGGTCGCTCGCTGATAAGGGGGGCTTCATATCAAGAGACATGAGGAGTAGACTAATAATGCAAACGCATGAGCTCATGGTTCAAAACAATAAGGAGAAGTGTTTAAGGAAATCTAGAGGGGCCCTTTGGGGTTCAAGTGCAGAGTGATGACTAGAAGCATCACCAACCTCTTTGACTGGACTGGGTTATGCATATTTCAAATAATCACATTAAACTGCGTTTATTAACGGTGACAAAATTGCGCTACTTAACTTTTCTGTTGGTTAGATTTAAAAATAGCAGCAGATCCTGTATTGCTCCTCTACTGTTGCAGTTAGGTCTTCGAGGGTTTATCAGTTATTTTCAATTATTATGTTTCTTTAGTGGATTGAGGAAGGGGAATTGTAAATGTGTGCCACAAGTTAGGTTGTTTCAAGAAATTCAGTTCACAATTCACTCGTGCCATGCTTAACTTTTTCAGTGGAGTTCTCATGGTTTGGTTTGTCCTTTTAATATGTTATTAACAAATTTTCTCTTTAAAGTTCATTTTTTTCTTTAATATTGATACAATGTTTGCTCTACATCCTCTAGAAAGACATTACCCTACACAGCAAAGAACGTTAATTTCTTTTCTTTCCCAAAAAGAGTTATATCCATAATGCATGATGCATTTCATCTCTTGTCTTGTGGACATTGCTTCAATCCTTATTTCTTTGTATCCCATAATTGGAGTAAATCGTAACTCCAAAGGTCCTCGAGTTGTACAGAAAACACAAATGAAATGTTATTCAAACCGTATTTGTGTAAAAGAAGGCATTGATCGAAGTCTAATGGCAGAATACAGTATTGTATAAATGTGGATGGTGAAAGAGATTAGTCATGCTGATGCTGTGAAGAGTGGGGGTCTTCTCTAAAGGCATGAGAGCACAATGCAGCCCAGTCATTCCACCGCTCTATCAGACTGTCTGCTCCTCTGTGTTTGAAGTCAGAGCGCCGCTGTACAATAGAGTTTGAGACCAATCGGCTTTTCCACCACACAGTCGCATCAGCCAGGGGTCCTCACTGATCTGCACCCATCCTTCACAGGACGTCCCAAAGCACGCTGCGCTTCTGCACCTGTGTGTTGCACCCGGCTACTGATAGTGGCCTGGATGTGTGTTTCCAGGCTTTTTATTCATGGGATTTGTATTTTGGAGCAATTTGCATGGGGCACTCATTTTTGTGGCTTTTGTGCAGTTCTTTTTAGTGGCTGCCTGTGGAGACTGGGCTGTGGTTTGTGATGGTAAAAACCGTGTGGTTGGAGTCCCAAAAATGAAATGTTTGTGGTACTTTTATCAATTTAACAATATTATGAATAAAAATAACATTTAGAGGAGATATATATTTAAAGGAGAACCACATCTTTGTGCTTTATTTGGATTTTTCCCCCATTAATGCTTATAGATATTCAATTGCATACTTAATTTCAATGTATTTTGTGTAGCCCTAACTCACAACACAGGAAATGCAATAATAAGAAACTCGTAGGAGGCCTTGGTCCATAGCGTGATTACCAATGTTCATAAATGTCAAAGTGTCCATCCTTCTGTCTGTCCTTACTCTGTCCTTGACCTCTTTTCCCCTACCACTTTAATACAATTATTATCCTTTGCACACACATTCCAGGTGGCGCTGCACTTTACCCCTTAGAAATATTGTTTGATGTTGTTGATTTTCCCCATTCATTTCACACATTCCGCCTGCTTTTTGGTGCTGTTTGCATGTGTTTGCGTGTGTTTATGTATATTACAGTACAGAGTTTCCCTGGATGCCTCGTTGCTGCTCGTCTCTTGCCGTCTGTGCCTGTAATCCCTGAGTGTGTCAGTAATGGCAGGTCCAGGTGTTCCGCTCGGCTCTGCTCCTCCCCTGGGGACCTCTCTTCAGTTGGGTTGTGCCTTCCCCCCTCTCTGCGAGTTAGGGGGCCGTCCACACTTCTATCCTCCAGAAGGGATGGGATGCAGAGCAGTGGGCAGGAGGTACCCGCCTCTCACAGCTTGCTCTCCTGGCCCCCCTGGGTGCAGGACCCCCCCTCTGCAACAATCTCCTGGGACATGGAGACCTCATGGCTCCTCTGCCTGTCTCCTCTCCCTCTGTCTCGTGCTGCACTCTGGTTGTTGGCAGCTGATAGACTTCTCTCTCCAGTGTTGGGCTGTGGAGCTGCAGAGTCAACTGCATGAATGGTCTCTCTAAACTAGGAACAGTTGGAGAGTTTAGACCTCTGCCAAGGCTATTTTACTCTCTCTACTCAATATCTCCCTCTACTGACCCCTAGTGACGGGAGTTGAAGTTTGTGGTTGTTGTTTATTGTATTGCCAGTTTTCCCCCAGTAATGATGTAGTTCTGCTTTTTTGACAGAAAAAGTACAAAAAACCATTATTAGTGATATTTTTTTCCACAAGTATAAAGAAATAACAAATACTTCTGTATCTTACGCTGGCTGATCATGTCATAATGAATTGCTGAGCACTAATTATCCATTAAGACTCACTAGACAGTCGTAATGCTTGAAGATAAACTCTGCTGTTTCCATTTATATCTGTGCTCTGGCTCTTCCGTGGCTCTTTAAGCTAACATCCACATGTCTATTTGAGTTCTATACTACTATACTACAGTGTGTGACTCAGGTGAGTTTGTTTCTGGGTTAGCGAGCGCATGGTCAGTCCACAAAACCTCATTCTTATAAATAGATGATGTAGCCGCCGGCGTGCGCTCGATGGGACCACACCACTCTGTTGTGAACCTTAATACGAGCCTCCTTTATATGTGTGTTTGTGTGGACATGGTGTTATTGTTTGTCTAACACTGATAAC